GGATTTCCCATGCTTCATCCTTCTATTTGATTATAATTGAGGCCTTGAAATTGAAAGGTTACAAGAAGTTGCGAAATATAGACAGTTTTTCAAAATTTCAGAAGAGAGTAAACATCTTGGAGAGGGGTCGTTATTGAAACATTCAAGAGCATGATTGACGGCTTCAGAAACAGGTACTTGTGTAAATACGTTTTTACATCAAAACTGACAAGAACGGAAATAGCCCATAGAGTAATACCAGGAAACATAAAAAAAAAACAGGGCCGATTATGGTACTGTTAGGTCTCTGGTCGTTGGTTAATTTTCCGTTGAAATTCTTTCCGAAAAACTTTAGCGATACAAGTCCTTTCTTAAATAAAAGTAGTTTATTCTTTCTCCATACAACTTTGCAATACACTTAATTTCCACAGTCACTTTAACTTCAACACATGCTATAATTCACAACGATTCACGCATTTTACTTACGGTCACTACCGCGCTTAACTCAATTGTCCGTCTATATCTGTGCCTGTCTGCAATTCAGTTGATTATCTCGCTTTATTTGCCTGCTTATAGAGGGCGTCTAGCAAATACTGGATTATTCGTGATGTTCCCCGATCCTTCTAGAAACTCATCACGTGTTACCAGCTTCACGGCCAGGTGGTTAGGGCGCTCGAATCGCAACCTGAGGGTCGCGGGTTCGAATCCCCGTCCCACCAAACATGCTCGCCCTTTCAGCCGTGGGGGCGTTATAATGTGACGGTCAATCCCACTATTCGTTGGTAAAAGAGTAGCCCAGGAGTTAGCGGTGGGTGGTGATGACTAGCTGCCTTCCCTCTAGTCTTACACTGCTAAATTAGGAACGGCTAGCGCAGATAGCCCTCGTGTAGCTTTGCGCGAAATTCAAAACAAACAAACCAGTTTCACGTGACTTCCGCTGTCGTAACAGTACAATTTTAGAATAGACAACTTAGAAATAAATGGTTTCAACAAGGATTGAAGAAACTGATCAAAACGACTGATATTAATGAACACTATATGGAAGGTCTAATGTTTATAAATGAACATCTTATACCTGAATTTAATAAAAAACTTTTTTCTATAACTAAAAACGCTGCCAGAAATGTAATACAAATAATATACATAGTCTAAATAAAAATTATTTTTTTCTTACTTATCTACAGTTATTTCCACAGAAAATACATATCATAGTACTTACAGAAATCTGGGCCAAAAATGAAGAGTTAAACTTATATAATATAAAGGGGTATAAAAAATACTATAAAGTCAGAAATTATAATAAATCTGGAGGTACTTTAGTATTTGAAATAAATGGAAAAGAAGAAAGTGTTGAATTTAATACAGCTGAAGTAGTAAATATACAATATAAAAACTAAACTCAATGTTATAGCGATTTATAGAAATGGAAATCAAATTAAAAATGTGTAACATTGTAGGAGACACGAATATAAATATTAAATCTGAAGAGAATGATGTGAAAGAATATAAAAATATGTTAGGTGCTTTTTATTCTTGAACTCAAAGTAGTACTAGAGAACAGTCAAATGCATGTCTGGATCATATTTATATTGCAACAGGTAAAATAGATTCTATACAAACAGCAGTCTTAAAAACTAAGATTACAAATCACTTTACTACAGTTCTAAAAATTCCTTTAATGAATAAAACTATGTGTAAACAAAGTATAATAAGGAAGAATTAAAAATAAATTATAAAAATATGGATACAAAAATCAAACAAACTGATTTTAGGAGTATCTATCAAAAGTTTAACATACAAGCTGCATATAAGGATTTTATTTCAAAATTTAAAAAAATTAACTGATTTATCTACCGGTTATGTAAACATAAAACTATGGATTATTACAATCTATTCAACATAGAAATAAAATGTATAGAAATATAAAAAACAAACTACCAACCTATAATGAACTGGTTGAGTTTAAAGAGTATAGAAATTATACAAGAAGGTTAAAAAACAAACTAAGACAAAAAATAATCGACATTAAAACTAATATTAAAAACAATGGGACATAATAAATGAGATTACAGGGAAACACTCACGATGCACTGAAATATTTGAAAGCATTACATTAAAGAAAAAGCACATTGAGTTTTCTGAACAACCCAAATTATATGTAAGTTCATTTAATGATTTTTTGTAAATATTATTGCGTCATCGAGATCATGTGACTATTCTCACGCCCTCTAGTTTCTAGAACTATCCCGTACCTTGGC